GTGTCGACCCTCGACCCCCCCCCGTTCCGCGAATACAAAAGTTCGCAAACGCAAACGCGCGCGCGCCGCAGGCGGATATTTGGTGAAAGGCGACGACGCGGAGGAGACGCGGACCTACGTCGTCGACGACGAGCCGCCGGCGCGCCCGCGGGCAAGCCCGCGCGCGGTCCCGATCTACGGGCGCACGCGCTTCCTGCGGCTCCAGGCGCGCAGCCTCTGGCGCGCCGCGGACGGCAACCCGCTCCGGGTCCACCGCGTCCTCATGGGCCCCGTCGAGGCCGTGGAGTGGTACCGGCCGCAGTTCCGCGCGGGCGTCGTCGCCGCGGCGTATCTCGCCTACCCGGTCGTCGTCGACGTGCTCTCGCGCCTCCCGCCGCCGAACAGCGTCGAGGGCCAGTACTACTTCTCGCTCATCTCCATCGTCTACGCGACGCTGACCGCGGCGACGATCACGGACGCGTCGACGCGCCTGTCGGCGCTCCGCGCGGCGGCCGTCGACGAGTCGTCCATGCTTTTGCCCCTCGTGAAGCGCCTCGAGGCCGCGCGCCTCGACGGCGCCGTCTTCAAGTACGCCGCGGGCCGCCTCTGGGACCACGCGTCCCTGTTCATCTCGTCGAGCCGCGCCTACGAGCTCGAGGCCATCGGCGCCTGCGACGACGCGCTCGTCGAAGTCCTCGAGATCCTCCTCGCCTACGACCAGGCGAACGACGACGTCGACCTCCGCGATGCCATGGCCTCGGCGGAGAAGCTCATCGAGGCGCGCGGCCGCCGCCTGAGCCTCGAGAACTCCTCGGTCCCGCAGACGCAGTACGACGTGCTCAAGGCGCTCTCCGCCGCGCTCGTCCTCGCCTACGCGTACCTGACGCTAGACGCGGCCCCGGAGACGACGGCCTTCGGCTTCGAGGGCGGGGCCTTCGACGCGTCCATCGGCGTCCGCGTGCTCTTCTCCTGCGTCGCCGGCGCGCTCGTCGTCTTCAATTCGCTCTCCGAGGACCTCAACCGGCCCTTCGACGGCTCGTCCAAGCTCTCGAGCGAGACCGTGAGCTCGAGCATCCGCCAGCTCCGCGCGACGATCGAGCCCCACCTCTGACTTTGCC